GCCAAAGCAGCTTTCAGATCGGAAAGAATGACCAATGGGACCTTTGGAAAAATGATGCTGCGCAAAATAATGCCAAAGCGCACCTTAGTTGCGGTGGATACCAGGCTGATGACACGATGGTTTTGTCATGACTGAGATATCAGTCGAATAGCTCCATTCCGCTGGTATTCTGTTTCTGTCCCAAATCTCGGCCTTCTGGGCTTTTGAAATCCACCAGCAAAATGGCTCAGTGGTTGGAGCGCGAATTTACTGACCGGAAGGTCCGTGGTTCGAATCCGACCTCCGCCACTCGACTTCCCCTGTCTAGGCTTGGGCGACCTGGCAGTATCCCAGCCCTCGTGCTTCCTTCGGGTGGCATGGCAGCTAGGCACCGGAAGGGTGCTACAGCTGAACGCTTTCTTTCTTTCTTTTTCTTTCTTTACTGACCGGAAGGTTCGTGGTTCGAACACGAACTCTCGACTTCTCCTGTCTAGACCTGAGCAACGTGGCAGTAAGTACCTAAAGGGTGTTACATCTGAACGAGTCAGTAAGAGATGTCAAGTTTGGCCTACAGTACGAGCAAAGTAGATCAGATGCTTTTAGGTTAGTAAGTGATTATTTTGGTTTATGCTTGTGGGTGATAGTCTAGACACGGGACAACGGCTAAGGGACTATCAGATGGGTAGACTGCACTAAATCATTCGATGGGTAGGGAGGGAGTATGGGGAAGACGGCTGATCGAAGAGCTGCAAGGGCTAATGATACCTTATTGATCAATGCGCTGCCTTCCGTAGTTGTCCGCCGGACGATCAGTGTGCGGTTTCTATGACCGACGTTTTCTTACTCGTCCTTCCTCGGGGAGGGGCAGCTTCACTGCTTCCATAAATAGGGATATGCTGATCGCCTGAAAGAACCGTCTTACTGCCTTCACACTCCTATCACAGAGGACAGTATGGTTTTGTTTCCAGTCCGTCTCGTAATACGATTTCTTGTTGTATGGGTACTCGCTATTCTTCGTTGGGCTGCTCCCCATTGGCCTTTAGGAACTGAGTTCCTGCCAGGTTAGGACGTAATCGAACAGAAAATTTCTTCATTGTAATTAGGCAGAATATCTTACTCATGACTCTCAGTGGGAAACTTTCATCACCGTTTGAAATGGGCTTAGCCTTTCCTTCCTGGCTAGACTGATTTCGTGCTAGCTCAGTGGTTAAGACACGAACATACGGACCGGAAGTTTTGTGGTTCGGACCCAACCTGTGTATCTCTACCGCTCCTGTCTGAGCTTGGGTGACTTGGTTGTATCTCATACCTCGTGCTTCTTTCGGGTGACATGGAAGATGTACACCGAAGGGGTGTTACGTCCGAACGATTGTTATTTGTTAGTGGATTCTAGATTGCTGAAATGTGTTTACGGCACGCCAACCCTCAACTCATCGCTGCAAGTGAACCTAAAAAGTCGTCTGCAGTTAGCCTTGCTAGTTGCCAGATGCGACCTCTGATATAAACGAAACTGACATATTTGCGCGTGCTATAACCATAGTCCAACCATAGTAGCTTGTGTGGGATGAAGTCAGCGAGTCTGTAATGAAACGACTGGGGACCGAGGATCAGGTTATGCATTGAGGACTATATCTGGTACCGTAGGCCACGGTGGATTGATAGTGGATTAAGCATACCTTTGACCTTCTGTTGTGAACTGTTTCGTTTTCCTTCCTTATTTGATTAGTATAGTCGGGGATGGGATGGTCTTTGAACTGACAGAGGGTCATGGAAGGGATTACAAAATTCTTGAGCACCTTTGACACGCGGGATCTTCTGGGATAGTTTTCGCGTTTCCTTTACTGTACTTAAATACCTATACTGTAGGACCAGGCTTCCTTTTGATGTCACCGGCAGTTGTGCTCTCACTTTGTACCGGACCGCCCTACTGAGTGTTGGCAGCTCGGGTCCTTTCTCTATCGTCCTATTATTTTTCCTAATACACCATATTTTCATTGGTATTGCTGTTGATGATGGCGCTGAAACATCTGTAGTGGTGTTCGGTACATAGGTGGTGCGGTAGTCACTTGTTCCTTGTCCAGTTTTCATGCTACCTCAGTTTATCTTGCAACGTGACTTTCACAGTTTCTATTGGGGATGCTATTGGATGACTCCTTGTCATTGATTTTTTCCGTTTTCAGCATTATGGCCGTAAATGGCGAAGTAGGTTGTTGGGCATGTGAATTATTCGATTTCAGCAGACCGATGAACGATCGAAAAACTCTTTCTACTGGGAAGAATCAAATGTGCAATTGAACGGAGCTCAAGAAGACTGGAAAGCATTCAAATTGCATTGCATGGGTCTTCGTGAATCGGTATGGACTGCGTGGGAGTGTAAAAAGAATAGCGAGACGGTATGTTTGGAGTTCGTATTTTGGTTAGATCTACGAACCTGTAGATAAATTCCTCTACATTTGCATCACTGCTAATTGCTGTCAAAGAACTCAACCGCCGGACTCAGTTCCGTATACGTAAAGCACGAGACCGCACAGCCGAGGTAACTAGCTTCCTCCTTCAGAAAGGTGTTATGATTCTACCGGCAGCAAAAGTTGGGAGTTGACAAATTGCACCTGAACTTACAGAATTTTTTGTACGAAGTCGCTCATTTGGAGGATGAAATCAAAACCTGTTTGGAATTCAGGTATATCACTGCACCTACTGTTTGATTCCCCACCTTGTAGATCGCAACACGAAAGGTTAAACCTCATTCCTGTAGAGGAATTCTGCCAAGCGACTGGTCGTAGCGTGCGTGCTTTTTGACACTCAACAACATAGGGCTTCTTTTTTAATTTCGTATTGCAGGTAGCTACTGCATCAACTCACGAGGGGACTCTGGAGCGATTATACTGGGAAAATGACCAACGTAAAAAGTAACATTAAGTTGGCACTTATCTTCCGTCTGTTGTTTTAATCTCATAGATTGGCAGCTGACTGCAACAGTCTTCAAGAAAAAGTGCAAGCTACGGAGCGAGAGATACAACGGAAACGAGATTATCTTGCAAGCTTCGGACCGAAATTGAAAGAACTGTCGGAAGTAAGGCGTTTTGTTCCGATGCACTCATCCAGTTTCTTTTCAGAGTACGATCTCCACTCAAGAAGCGATGAATTTGCCTTTTACGAAAGAGGAGCGTCAGTATAAGCTTGCACATCTTCTTCCTTCTGCGTTGTACATTCTGTACGCACACCTGAAGTCCTATGTATCGATCACTGGTAAGCAGACACCCCATCCTTGTTTTGTGTTATCTCACAGTCACTACGCCAACTCCCCCACGTGAACTTGTCACTAGTCACACTCAGCTCAACCGGCGGTGCAGTGTAAGACGTCAAGAGGTGGTTGAGTAGGACATTTGCCATCGTATTTAGACCTGATACCTTATGTTACTTAGTTAGTCTTTATGGTTTATCTTTGCCTTCATTTAGCCTCACTGAAAAGTCAGACTCATTCCCCGACTTTTCCTGGCTTATTCTGTTTAGCCAAGCAATCTTCCAACGTTCTGATGCTGTTAGCAGCAAGCGGCTGCTCGAGTGGTAACGCGAGGTTTTCAAACCAATTGCCATTTCCTTCAAGTGCATCGACAATTAATTAAACGTTACCGGGCTATTGAAAGTTAGACACATTTGTATATATTTTTTCGGACCCAAGCTAACCTCCGTTGAATTAGCCAATTTCGTTTTGTATGTGACAGTGACACCGCTAAACTTTTTCCCTATCGATGGAGAAAAGTTGGGAACACACCCTACAATTCAACCAACACTTCATCAGCCCCGGTGATTCAAGTGCCCACAACCCGGACTGGTTATCCTTTTTATCATGCGTGAACGCAGCAGGCCGTGAGACGAACATTTTGCCTTTTATTTTACCCCGAGTTGTTTTTCATCCTTCTCGGAATCCGCCCGTAATGGTTACTCACCGCAGACGCTTATTCTTGTCGTACGCAAAGTGCGTAATACTCAGTTGACTTTTCCCTGCAAGCTCTTCTGGCTATTATGTTATCACCTGCCCTCAGCTAAACTCCCACTGTCTCACACATCGTCCCGCCGTCTTCTGGCGTTACTTTCATTAGTTCCTATTTCTTCTGGTGGATATAGATCAGTTGAGAGAGTGCTTTATCTAAGTTCTGCTGCAGCACTGTTCTTTTCAGCGCATTTTCAATTTTGCAGGCATACGTTTCCTGATCGTATCTCTTCACCACTAGCAGAAAGTTTCAATGGCCTTTCTTTTTGAACGGTTTGGGATAGCCACTTCGCCGTAACCCAAACGATACGCATTGGTCCCTTGAAGATTTCACTGAAGTGTTTATTTTATTTCTTCCCTTTTTGTTTGCTTTGGTTTCGCACTTGAGTTGGCATGATGAATGATGCGAAAGTTGGTTAACTGTTTATGCTTTCTTCTAGCGGCGGGCTGTCTAATTTTTTCACTTTTTTTCCACCACCCATCTTGGATGTAGTTTGGGAACTTAATCGAGCATTTTTGAACATCTTTCTGATCTGGCTCTGCGTCACTGTCTGGGTATACAGGAGAAATGGCGAATCTGTTACTTCTTGCTGACATGTTGATAATCGAAACCAAACCAGTCAGGTCGTCTGTGGCATAGATGCCCAATCTTGTTAGCTGCTGTCATCAGCACTCGGTATTTCCAGTTGTGTCACACTTCACTTGGGGCGAGATGGCTCAGTGGTTGGAGTGCGGATTTACTGACCGGAAGGTCCGTGGTCCGAACCCGACCTCTACCTCCCGACTCTCCTTGTCTAGGCTTGGGCAACCTGGCAGTATCCCAGCCCTCGTGCTTCCTTCGGGTGGCATGGCAGTTAGGCACCAAAAGGGTGATACAGCTGAACGACTTACACTTCACTCAGTATGACCAGGAAGCATCAATGTTGAATACTTATGTTATGCTATTGCTGATGATGATGACACTTCACTCATCGGGCTGGGTTGGCTGAAACCTGTCAATACGGAAGTCCTTTTTATCGAAGAGTTTCAGCAACCTTAGGAGTAGTGTTCTGTCAATAAAATACAACGAGGTATCTTGCATGCTGTCCAACTAAAAGATGAGGCAACCTGTGTGCATCACATTCAGTTGAAGACCATCATAGACGGGGATTCAACCGAATCTTCCGGTAAAATCAAATCAGTTTGCCAATGAGTGTGTTTTGCACAGTGATATTTCGTTTTACAACCAACCTTGCCCATCCCTAAAGGGATACGCGCCTGTCGAAAGTCTCTTTGACTAACCGCCGTTAACAAACCTATACCTAATCCCTTGATATCTGAAAGCGCCTGACCAGAGGAAATCACCTTCAGGCAATAGAAGCAGCTTTTCGGAATTGGTAAGCGTAAAATCTGTCGTCGTCTTCTGCTGGGTTATAGCCTTAAGATATGTACACGGAGGGCAGTCAAATCGTTTCGGCGAGCCAATCTCAGGTGCAACAAGGCAATAAGTGGGTTGATTCCACGAATTCTTAAATCGGCTATTCCTCTGAGGCTTGCGGAGCAAGTCTTTCTTTTTTCCCCATCTGGTAACCGATCCATATCAGCTTCGGGGGGATTTTCGTGATAAGCGAACCGTATTTAGCTGAAACCCGCCGTGTCGGTTCTGTATCATTTGAGTCCCATTTCGGCTGAGGTTAGGAGCGCCTTAGTAAATAGGCATCTGCATGTAAAGGGACGCTTTAATTGGTATCCTATTGCACTGGACAGCCAGTGAACAGTATCAGTAAAAACATTAGTTCTACTATACTGAACCCACAAGCATCGGGTCCAGGAAACGTAGGAGTGCTGCTAAAAGTAGACATGGCTAGACAGTTTCATGGGCTCGGCTGGAGTGCAAGGTGAGCAACAGCGAAAGCTGTGTAGGGTCGATCCGATTGGGTCGTTCGGAACAATGACAGAACTAACTTGCTAGTCCAATATTGATTGAACCTACGAAGACGAATCGTGCACCGGCTTAATCGCTATGAAGAGTAAATTTGTGTGTGACTAGTTCAATTCACAACCGATGATGATTATTTTTTTTGGCATTATCGTTTCCCGAAGCTCACGTCGCGTCACTTTTGCTATTCAACGAATTTCACAATTAACTAATCAGGAGTTTCTGGTGGAATCCGGGTAGTTTACGCAGGCCTGTTTTTCAGGAGAAGTCAGTGCGTTTAGGGTAGTTAGTACTCTAATTCGACAGTATATATGTTGCCTTCGTCATTCCGTGTGTTTCGGATGCCAGAAGACCATTTGCTTCGTGGGACAACCTTCGTCCGGCTCTATGAAGAGGGGAACGACAAAGGGCTGTCAACCTTTTGGCCTAGTAGTGTGATTTTAGATCCATGTTCGTTAGATTCAGTGGTGTTGACAGTTGCCCCTTTTTTGAATAATCATCCCAGGATGAAGTGTGTAGTGACATTTATAGCAGTTTAATTGGACAGTCAATGCTGTTCCTGCGTCAACGCTGTCAGTTTAACAACTTAGTTGTCCGGATTGCTCCCTAGTCAGAAGTCACTGCCGATTTGGTGTCAGTTAGGCGGTCGCGCCACCACCTCCAACAGCGACATTTCCCGTGTAGTTTTGTGACAGCTGGTAGATGAATAACCGAGCGAAATGTAGGCTAAGTAGGCCTAGTTGTACTCCCTGCGGACAACTCGGAACAATGAACTGGCGTCACATTTCGTTTAGTTAACAACTTCCTTTGGGTTATGGAGTTTGGTGGAATTCTTGTTGCTCATTATTCTCCATGAGATCAAGCAGTACTGCATATTGCTTCCTTGGACGAAAAAGTACTCTGCTAAGATGGTAAACAATTTGGTGCGGTCACCACTCCATCTGAATCAAATCAAGTGTACAACACTCGGATGGAAATTACACGTTAATCTTCTGTATCTACTGGGGTGTGTAAATGGACGTTAGTTTGTCAGACTTGAAAAATACCCGACATATCTTAGGTGAATGCATCCAGCGATGCACTCACTCAGGCGGCAATAATGAGATACGTATGTTTATTTGAAGGATACCACTCATGAGGCTGCTTAAAACCGTCTCCCGTTAAATCCAGATTGGTGTGTAAATGAGTGTATTTCGCGTGTTTACTTCCGAGTAGTTTGAGGGATTCGTAGATGTTATTTCCGCGTTACCCGTATCTGAACAGTTGTCCTCTAGGTTTGGCTTTGTTGGTTTTGCAATGCCATCCTCGTTCCGCCTACCAGATGTATTTGAAAGCTCGACACGGTCAAGAAATCCACTGCTGGGAAGCTCCAGTGGGAATGATACTCGGGTCCGATGCTTCCCCTTTGATATGAACCGATTAGAATGGGTAACTAGAACAGGGGAGGGACACTTTTCCGGCAGGAAATGCGGAACTGGACTCACAATACTTGAGAAATACTCGGAAAGTTATCGGCGCTAGGATGAACCTGGCTTTGTAAAGCTGTTTTCTTTATCATGTTTACACATAGGTGCAAAGCACGAGTTCTATGTTTTTTTTTATGTGCCAGTTGAATATATTTAGGGATCATTTCCAATAAGCTGCGTAACTCTAGCTTCAGTGGAACTCTAGTTCATTATTTTCGTGGTTTTTTATCCCGCGTACCACCATGTTCGGCCTTGGAGTTTCATTCACGAGTTGAAGGAAGGTCTTCACTGATGTTGAAATGTCTATCAGTTTCCACTAACACGTTTTTCACGACTGTTGTGCAGACCATGTAACCCAGATAGCCGTAGAAATTGAGGGAGACGCCCAACTAGCCAAGGCCATTAATCAAACTGCTGGAAGTCAGTCAACTCTGAGTGGTCTTGGCACAGCGGCACCGGATGCGGAGGACTCTGATGCGGACCTCGATGCTCCTTCCGAGAAGAAACGTGTAAGTTATAAAGTCTGCTTTTATTCTCTTATGTTGTTCATTGGTTAAGGGTCTAGTAGCTTGTCTGGAACAAATGCTGCTGTGCACGCGGACCACTAGATACAATGCAGTTTGACCAATCTTTTGGACTCGATTTTCTTTGACTTGATTTGACTTGATATAACCAGTGCCCTAACGCGTCTCCGTAATTTTGTCGAGAGGAGCCGCTGGCGACCGAATGGTTTGGTTTTTAACTCCTATCAGGGAGAGTCGCAGATTCAAGTTATCTTACAGATTCGTGAAATGCAAGCCATTTGGTATTTCGAATAAAGATGAAACAGCCTTGCAATATTCCTCGGCTTTTCTGCATTGGTTGGTTACGGGACAAACATCGATTTAAACTCTGATTGTGGTTGCTCAAGTTTGGATTGTAGGTATGTTAGTGGCTCATATCCTGTTCGCAACTCCTTACCAAGATGCGTCGAGGGGTTGTACCCCTTACGATCAACCGGGATGGAGAGCACTTAGTAACCTTTGTTGTGGGTAGATAGCTGTCATTTTTTTCAATAAGTTGACGTATCGGCGATCGTTTGTACTAAACTTTTCAAATTTTTAAAAGCTTATATGTATAGTCTGCTTTTATTCTCTTATGTTGTTCATTGGTTAAGGGTCTAGTAGCTTGTCTGGAACAAATGCTGCTGTGCACGCGGACCACTAGATACAATGCAGTTTGACCAATCTTTTGGACTCGATTTTCTTTGACTTGATTTGACTTGATATAACCAGTGCCCTAACGCGTCTCCGTAATTTTGTCGAGAGGAGCCGCTGGCGACCGAATGGTTTGGTTTTTAACTCCTATCAGGGAGAGTCGCAGATTCAAGTTATCTTACAGATTCGTGAAATGCAAGCCATTTGGTATTTCGAATAAAGATGAAACAGCCTTGCAATATTCCTCGGCTTTTCTGCATTGGTTGGTTACGGGACAAACATCGATTTAAACTCTGATTGTGGTTGCTCAAGTTTGGATTGTAGGTATGTTAGTGGCTTCCTGTTCGCCCTTACCAAGATGCGTCGAGGGGTTGTACCCCTTACGATCAACCGGGATGGAGAGCACTTAGTAACCTTTGTTGTGGGTAGATAGCTGTCATTTTTTTCAATAAGTTGACGTATCGGCGATCGTTTGTGCTAAACTTTTCAAATTTTTAAAAGCTCATATGTATGCTATCAGCGGACCCTAATTTCGAGTACAATATTCTTATTGTTTCGCAACTGTAGTCACGCTCGAGACATGATCGTATTTAGGAAGAACCGCCATGTTTCACACATAGCTATGTCCTGTAACCCGATAGCTAACGACGAGGTTAATGCGCCTTCCCCCTAGTTGGGACTGAATATTTATTTTTTACTCATTCTGGAAGGAAGTAGTGCTCCCGACTATTTTCCTTTCATCGGTATGGTAGTGGAGCCTATTTCAAAGTGTTGTTTTATCAAGCCCCCCCATTATTTTCTAACGTTCATCGCCACCACGATACCTTGAGTGTCGTTATATGAGTATCATTTTGTTTTCAGAAAACCGGACGCCACAAAGGGAAATTGGAAGATACATCCGACCGACCCGCCACATCAAACAAGATGGCAACCCATCCGCTGTCCGTCGTGGTTAGGCTTGTCCATGAGTGTGGCGCTGCAGGTACTTGGATACTTTACTGTCTACTCAAGCTGTTCTCAGTAGCATAAACTTAACGAAAATCATCACGCACTTTTCCTTTCTGTTCTTAACAGCTCACAGTTGTTGAAATCAGTGGCGTGTTGTGTTGGATGTGTGGAGCTGAGGAGTGATCTCTTGGTGGACTATAGAGCTTTGTCAACACGATCGAACCTGTATGTCCTCCTGAACTGAGGGCATTTCAGGAACGGGATTTTTTCGCCTCCTATAGGATAGGACTTCACACTACGTAGTTAACGGGGATTACTATTTCGGCCCTTCTTGGGAGTGCCGCTCTTCGGAGTAGTATCTCTCGGCGGCATTACTGAAGTTGTAACTTCATTTGCATCAGTTTTCATTTCAACTGCGGTTTGTGTAATTTCTAATGAACCAGGGCTTGTCGTTTGGATAATACTCCTGAATTTCATGGGCAATGGGCTTTTTCCTGTACTTGTAGTGCTAAAATCATGCTTGTTGAAACACCGGTACTATCAACATTAAGACTTGACTCATCCTCATATGAAATTTCGACTATTTTTTTCAATTAAATAGCGGATGGTGGTGCTGTATCAGTACTTATTATTGGGGGCGAGATGGCTCAGTGGTTGGAGCTCGAATTCACTGACCGGAAAGTTCGTGGTTCGAACCCGACTCCTGCATCTTGACTTCTATCTAGGCTTTGGCAGCCTGGCAATATCCAAGCCCTCTTGATTCTTTCAGGTGGTATGACCGGTAGGCACTGAAAGGGTGTTACAGCTGAACGATTTATTATCTAGTTTCGAACAGTACTTCTGAGTGAAAAGTGGGGCATCCGATCCTATAACGGATAGATACATTTGGGCGATCTGATGGCTTTGGTTGGATTTGAAATGATATAGACCCGTAGCCTTCAACCAAAGGTGGTATTTTAAGGCTTTTTGGGGAAATGGAGGCCATGTGTTAGCAAGCCCAAACCTCTGCGGTTTAGGCGTTAAGTTCCTTGCACCTGGCGACTTTCGTTTTACCTTCTCACCTATTGCTCTTAGAGCAACGTGTTTGTTGGTCAAAACGCATACTGCTTTACGTGAATTATCACGGAGGCTTATTCCATCGTATTCTCCTATATGTTTTGGTGACACCGTTATGGTGAATTTCACTTACGTTTTCCAATTCGCGTGAGCATTAAAATTGAGTTAGGTAACGTCAGTTCGAGAAATGGTTCTGGGTCATGCTCTAGAAGGGTTTTACTATTTCACAAGGGATGAGAACCCATTTACACTCTAGTCAAGTTTTAGCAATGTTTGCGTTCAAAGCCAATTTGACCTATGCTCTAGGGAGGTGGTCCTCAAAATTTTCAGCTCATCACCGTCGCCACACCACTTTATTCTCAACACCAACGCTCCGTCGCTTCATGTGCATCACGTGAGCAATTTTACATTAGCTTCTGTAGTAGGGACCACCGAAGAGAGTCCACTCCTCAAAAGAGATCCACCAGCTTCATCCCCATAGCGGTTTTTCTTTGGTAGTGGTTTACTATACAAAAAAGAACAACAGCTAACCCTGCGATTGGGTCTAGCAGATAGAAACCAGCTTATGGATATCAGACTGACAAGTATTCAGAACAAACCTGAGGTCCTCAAGCTCAAATATATGGTATGCACTCGACAGCTCGAGTGCACCGAACACACTGCCTAGAACAGCAGACATATTTATCATCGCCCGCGCATCAACTCCTGGGGGGCGGGAGCTTATCGCCTGCGAGAAACGCCGTTTGGAGGGTTTGTGCACCTGAGTGTCTAGTGATCTTTCGCCCAATTGGTCACCAAACCCTTATTTTGTGACATCCTGGATTTCAAAAGGTGCATGCGGTATGCGATTTGGGTCGCATTCAGCTGGTACTTCGCTGTTTTCGGGATAGTCGTCGCAACAAACGGTTTTTCACTTAATTATTGTCTTACTATTCAGCATCGTTTCTGTGAGATGATTTTGTTTTCTGGCCTCATTCCCTTCAGCTTCAAAGCCGCGTTTTGAAATTCAGCTGACGTTCTTTTGGGTTCTCTCGGTGAAACTGGTAGCCGTTCGTCTGCATCTGACTGCACTCAGCGATCAGTCTCCGTCTAGCACCTCAGGCAGGTAAGGAAATCCGGTCTGTATAAAACTACCATGTTCCTCTTTGTTTTTTATCTCCCCACCGACTACTTATTTTACACACATTGAGAAATCTGGGTTTCAGTGTTCTCATTACTGTGTCCCATAAGCCTACTACTGGCCAACAACCGGAACGAAAGCGGCGGCAGTCGAACTGTGTTATTTCTGAACAGGTGATTGCGGATCTGCTCGTTAAGCCCGTCAGTGAGAGCATGGACTAAGTCCTGTTAATTGGTGGCGGATGGTTTACAAACCAACTAACAAGCTCAGCGAGCTGATGCATTACCAATTAAAACTCTTGAACTTTGCCAATGTTTCGACATAATGCCAGCCGTACTGGGTGCAATGAGGTCCTCATGTTCTCCTGTTTGGAGACCCATGTAACTCTTGGTGCGCGTGATCACGTATCCTTTTGGATACGATACACAATCTATCTCAGTGGTGAGCGTTGCATCACTTTCTAGTCGAACTGAGTGCCTGAAGATTGTTTACTGGGCTTTTATTAAGTTCACAAAGGGTGGCGATTAACTCGTTGATGGCAGGTTTTCGCGATGCGATGCCGTTTGAGAATGTAGGTATCTCACCATCGGTCGTTATTTCCATTACATCTATACCCTTCTCCTTTGTCTTCTTTACTAGAGCGTCCCCTTTCCATGGTTGTGTAGTATTTGGCTGCCAGTATATTTCTATCGACTGTGATGAACTCATCTTTCTATTTTTTATCTTTTTATCTCTGGATGCGGAGGACAACAACCACACTGTAACCGATCTATTCCCTGAGGCTTTCACTCGTAACTGTTAGATCCTGATCTCTTCTGGGTTCTTTCCACAATCCCAAGTTGATGGGCTGTATTAGTGTTCTTGGCCTCTTTGTTCTTGGTTGTTCTAACTATTGAAGTTACGTAATCAAGAGTGATCGCTTCCAGCTATATTCGCGGACAGGGTGGTGAGTAGTAGCGCTTAGACTAACACGACAATTTGAAGCATGAGATGGCATGTGTGCAGCACATTCAGTTGAAGAAGATCCTAAACGAAACATTTACTTGTGTTCATGAATAAAACCAATGTAGTTTACAAGTCAATCTATTTCGTATACCTTCGACAATTTGAGCATGAGATGGCATGTGTGCAGCACATTCAGTTGAAGAAGATCCTAAACGAAACATTTACTTGTGTTCATGAATAAAACCAATGTAGTTTACAAGTCAATCTATTTCGTATACCTTTAATACTCCGACTAAAGTGACAAGTCACATTTACTGGTTAGTCGTAGGATGACTCAACTGCTAATGAATACTCCATTTGTCGTGATGTATAGGTTTTATCGTTTTACCTTTGTAATCGTCAGGTTTCAATAGAGGACTCTTTGTTTCTGTAAATGCTAATACATAACTTTTCTGGAGGAAAGAATGTCTGCTACAGAGGCAAATTGGACTTACATCGACGTGAATGGAGATTTCGGCTGGAGGGTTTTGGATCGCGGTAGGAAACTACGACTCAATTCGGTGATATTTCCAGTTCCCTTTGGCTGTTTCGTTGTTCGTAGCCTCTGTCCCCTTGGGTGTATCGGCAGTACACCCACGAAACTGCGGCAGCTACAACCACTGTACGACGAGTACGCGGTTATTACAGCTGACAGTGATGATGATGATGATGTGTACCGGCAGTCAGGAGTATGTCAGACCAGAAGTTTGGTCCAGCACATTTCTGCAAGCCCTTTGCAACTAATCACCCTTAGTGGTTCATAACGTTTTCTCCGTTTCCATAATCTTTGTCTGCCTGAATTATAGCTTTTCCGCCATTCCTTAACACCTTCTAGAGACCTTTTATGTTCCGAAAAGTTGTTGTGCAATCTCGATTGGACGGCAAACTCAACGACGAAAGGGGCGCGACGAGGTTCCGACTGGCCCCTTTTGCCCGCCGACCATCAGTGGGATGCGTGTCAATCAATTGGTCGTCCTTTTTTGTGGGCACAAGAGCTTTGTGGATCTCACTGCCTATTAGAGTCGAATCCTACAGTGCCACCACAAGACACAACGAGCTCCACAGTATCTCTCATTGGCAACGAAGTCACCGAGTCACAGTGTCCAACTGAGCCTCTTCCTCGTTATGGCCGAGTCGATACCTGGCTTAACGCTTTAAAACGGCGTCTGGATGATCGAATCCTCTTGATGCAGGAGGTCGGTAGCATTTCCTTTTATATAGCTGTACTCTACAACGCCTCATGACCTAATCTGGACATGATTCTCAATCGTTCCAGGCTAAATTTACGATTGTCTCTGTAAATTGAAGCCGGCGTACAGAGTTGGAGGTTCAAACTCCGAAGTTCCTTTCGTCGTTCAGTGGTTGTTCTGAAACTATACTTGCGTACTATTGATGCCTACTACTTTTAGGATAGTGTTTTGCTTGAGCATATCTACCGGTGAATACAGTTTAACTGTTCAATATCAAATTGCCTGGGTGAATGTACCGAACAACTGTCTCGTTTTGTTCTCATGACCAAACAGCACTGACTTTCTCATACTGGATGCAACAGGATTTTGATCCATCTCACTCATTCAGGCAATTTATTAGGAGTGGCCACAACCGCCGAAGCCCTCTTCCTCCACTTTTCATACTGATTTGAACGACCATTGTCAGTGCATTCGTACGCTACCACAAATTTTGTGGATAAGCTGAAACAGTTGGTTATCGGTGTTTTACAGCTCACGGCTTGGCTAAATACTTGCATGGTTTAGCCAAAGTATTGTGGACGACTGGCGAAGAAGAGAGAGAGAGACAAAAAGAGGGATCAATGAACTCCAGAAGTAGTTTTATAGGAAAATATACTTCGTAAACGGACTACCTAAATGAATCGTGAGTTGTTGGTTGTTGATCAAATGTCTGTTGATGTGTTCGCGGAGCTTGGCGATGGACTTGTAACGGACTGTCCTAGGCCTCATGACAAACTCAATGAAGAACGGACCCCATGCCAATAACAGGTCGTGCTAATAAAAGTAACCCTATCCTACAATGATTGCTTTGATGTGCTCAGCATTCGTTCTGGATTGTTAAGACTGGAAAAGTCTAGACATCAAGATAATCTACTGTTTTTAGAGAAAAACTGAAGTCTGCACATACTTTGAGTGCATTCATAAAGCTTGCCGGTGAATTTGAGTACGAGAATTGTGCATATAGGATGCTTGATAGAGCTCCCCTTAAGTGATTTAGAGGAAACCAAATGCTGCGTCCCACATAGAAATGGAACTGCTGTAACTAATCAGATATTATAGAAACTGTGTGGATCACGAAACTACGTGTGTTCGTTTTTTCTATACACACAGACAAGAATTAGACAGTGTTGATTGCTCTTCCAGTTCTGTCAGATCTTCGCTTCCTCGTATGATGTATTTCTGTGACATTTAATGAATTCAGTCGTTAAGGCCATTCGAAATAAAATTAGCTTGTAACAACTGGTGACAAGTTAAGGACGTTCAGAGTGTACGAAGTGAAAATTTTGGAAAATCCTTCATTTTCAGGCCTAACGTTGGGGAGAGTAACTTGTCATTGGATATTTTGGATATTTTTTGTGAATATCTGCCGTTCCATGCTTTGAGTCGTAAGCTTCTTAGTTATTTAATCAGTTAGGATGATCCTATTATTGAAAGTCCTGTTTAATAAGTTTACATCGGTTTGACGGTCAGTGAGAATTTCCAAAAATTTATCCGGGGACGTTACAAAATTGTTTGATGCCCAATTTAGAAGTCGTTTTACGTATCTTGAGAGTTGCATTATTTCTGATTGTAGTGTGACAGATGAGGTCAGTGCACGAATCCGAAAGGTTCGGGTCGCATTCGCGAATTTGAGATACCCATGGCGTCGAATTGCTGTATCTGTTGATGTCAAAGGACGTGTGTATCGAGCTACAATGCAGGCTGTTTTGTTGTATGGCTGTGCGACTTGGTTTGTTCGAGCGGCGGGACTGAGACGTCTTCAGGTGTACGACAGTCGTTGTCTCAGAACCATAGCTCGTGCGAGTTGGTGTTGGCGTATCCGTAACGAGGCAATTAGAAAGAGATTTTTCGGTTCTGCAACGGGTACTTCCATTGAGGAGTGTGTCCAGCACCAGGAGCTGCGTTGGTTGGGACATGTTTTGCGTATGCCTAACCATCGTTTGCCGAAGAGAGTGCTGCTTTCCATGTCCAACTCAGAGTGGCGTAGAGAGGTGGCGAACCCTTGACTTGGCAGAAGAGTATGAAGAAGACCACGAAACACTTGGGTGCTGTCGTTGCTACTCGCCTTCTAGGATGGGGACCGCGTGATCCTCACTGTGCCTGGTTGGAGACACTACAAGATATGGCTGCCAACCGATGTCAGTGGCGATCTTGTCAGTTTTTATTCAGATTGCCTGAATGAGTGTTTGGAGGTGTAGGCACGTCGGAATGATTGTGTTAAGCTAGCACTAAGTCCCTCCCCCATCCACCTTTATTTTTTCTTCACATTGAGGCTTTCACACAGATCATTGTTGTCCGGCAGCGAAGCATCGGTGTTGAACACTGATGTCATGCTGTCGATGATGATGATGATAATGATGATGATGATGATGATGATGAAGTCGTTCCTCTTCTAGCCAAGAAGATTTCATGGTTCAGGTAACGCACGTCGCCAAAAGTGTTTGTTTGACACAAAATATAGGGCTAATTAATCTTGATACGGATTTTGACATATAGGTTTTGCTTCCTGGAAAAGTACCAACTAATAAAGATACAGTGGGTATAGATATCCGTTCAGAAAAACTCCTTTGAAGAATTATGAAGGAAATGTCTTATCAACCCGAAATTCATTCAAACTGTGCTGCGAATTTCTGTTAAAAGTGGAGCAGAATTGGTGGCCAATGCAACTGTCATGAGTAGTTATCGTTAATCGTGATTTCTTGGGTTCTCTTGTGCACACAGCTGGACAAGACTGTGGTCTCATCCCGGTGAGGTAATTCACTAGGAGAGACTACTTTATTCGTTCCCTCGAAGCATGTCCAAATGATACCAGTAGGAGAAAACCTCTCAGAAGAAGAGGAAGAAGATCGGTCCTCTCAGGTGAACTCTCCAGGGATTATGTGTTATATAGATCTTCGGAAAGGCTTCACTCACGGAGCCATGACCGAAGTGTCCTCAGATGTATTTTTATGCGCGCGCTGATGGAAGTAGGATAAATGGCACCTTTTTGGCATTATATCTTGGTTTATGTCCCTTAGGAAGCTCCTTGGGACAGACCACTGTACTCATGTGATAATGGCGTTAGAATAGCATTGTGCTTACTTAGCTATAACAGAATGGATGGCTGCAATACCATCAGTACAAACTGAACGAGATAAAGTAGATATATCTCATTTCGTAATGAAATACCCCACTAGAAGGGTCAAATCGGCAATGGGCTTTCGAAGAGTTCCCGGCGACCTTATGGTTAGTGCTATGTCAAGAGAATACGCTTCGTCACCTTATGTAGGTCCCCGTCAATTGACAAATTAATAGACATTTATTGTGGTATGAGGACCTATGGGTTCATTTGTCATTCTGCGTGCAAGCAAAGCAACTGCTTTCTTCGTGACGACGACACTTACTAGACTACATTTCGAGTGCTACACTCCGTTCTCTGGCTGTCACCTCTGCTGTACAGCTTAAGATGTCCCGAATTTCATGTTGCATGCGTTTTGACACACGTCAAACAATTCATCAGCAATACTCCGAACCATGTGTTTATGCATTCCTCGATTGATCGTTTATGTTTTCACCCAACCACCCTCCCCTTCTACCCTCGTGTTGATTGCGATGAACATTGCGGGATACGAACAACAGCTGGCGCATATTGAATCCGAACGCCCTCTGCTGTCCGCTGCACAGCAAGCCTTGCTTCCTCCCCCGGCCGCAGCTCGAGGTAGTACAACTAGGCTGACTAACTGGCGACGCGCGACATTTACAGATCTCCAGGTAAGTGCCATTGTTTTCCTTGCCGTTTTCAGTATCCCAACAACCTACTACGTGTCCATCTCTTCTTCATGTGCGGTTGATGGGCAGATAACTCGATGATGAAGCAAGAGGGAGAAACTTGTAACTCGCCTTGGTCGATTTGACCGGGTAACAACTTAGTTGTCTGTTGATAACACCAGATTTGTTTACGATGCACACGATGTACGTAGCTGTCAGAGCAATTGTATTCTGTTTGCTGAGGTGCGTAAATCCTCGGATTCCCTTTCACCGTTAGCTATCCAGAGAATGTTTTTCGCTTATTTCTTGACCGCATTCTTCTAGTTTCAGTTGAACCAGTCAGTTGCCAACTGAATCGGTCGCTACTATATTCAGGAATTATTAGTTAACAGTTTTTGACTGAGCATCCTTGAAAAAGGTAGCTTTTGTAGAGAGGTTACAGTCATTCGTAGACCCTCTGAGAGGGAACGAATTATTTGATTGGTGTTTACTTATAAACGATAGTTGTGACGTAAATGAGCAAACGGAACATCAGGGACTTATGTACAAAAATAAGCCAAGGCAAACACGGAATCTATGGGAAGTCTGTCTCACCTCCGAACACGGTTTTTCCTTGTGGTAGACTTCATACAGGGGACCGGCCCCACCTGTTTTTGATGTTCTCATCAACGGTTCATGCTTATCAGTTATGTAGTATATAGACTAAGCGCTCCAACGGTTATTTGTTCACAACCGGTTGGATCTCACTTGCTTTTCTCCCCAACATGGTCTTTGTTACTGGCAACGAAAATCCAGCAGCAATATGGAGGGTGTCGTTAACTTGACAGTCGTCCAGTGTGAAGGGGGGGGGTTATTTTGAAGAGTAACGTGCTTATGTATTCCTTCCTTTTTGTAGTATATGTTTGATATTCCGATATGTCATGTCTTTGGCTGTGCCAGAGGTGTCTTACTGTTAGGGGCCAGAACGAATGTTGAGTGAGGCTGAGCACCGCGCATTGGGGCTGAACTTTTCACTCTTGTTCAAGTGATTCGATATTCGTGGGTCGTCCTTCGGGTATTTTGAATTTTTTATTATACAATTACTCTGTTTTGCCTGGACCCTGTTTACATTCTCCTGGGTTTTCTGCGATGTTCACATGCTACACAAACCGGTTGTGTGGGAGCCTATCCTAAACAGGGTCATCAGAGCATAGTTTGACATGACCGGTGAATCTGTATAGTTCCCAACCACCTTTATATTTCCAAAACACTCGATTTATCCTGACTACGCTGGTGGGTCATACCTTACATCACAAACTGTTATCAGTGAACCGAATATGGTCTCAGCTCAGCACTTGAGAACTATTTATACCAGAACCTGGTTCACATGAGTCACTGAGCAATTGTTTTCTCGTACTTCCTAATAAAGCATCGGTGTTGAACACTGATGTCACGCTGTCGATGATGATGACTTCCTAGTTTCAAATACTAAGCACATCACATTCCATCACGTTCCTCAGTTACTTTGGATAACTTTCCTGCTTTGATTCGTATCACAGACCGTTCCTCGAGCTCAAGTGCCCATCTCACTTAATCTGATCCAGCCAACAGATGCGATCTTTCAGTGTGATTTCCGGCAAGGAGATTCACGTGAGTGAAACCTGTTTTTATTTGTCTTCCGATTTGCTGATAAGTTTTGTTCATGCATTTTTCCTTATTGTAACCGTTCTTATATAAGTAATTGTCATTTCCTAAATATCTCTGGCCTTCCCTGAAGACGACGAGTTGCTTCTCAAAAATCCATTTGCGGTTGATGGTTGGGGGTATGCTGGGTCGGATTCATATGGAAAACATCTTTGACTCTCGTGGGAATTTGTCATCAGTTACCTCCCCGTCGATAGTGCACATCTAACTTTACCGGACCGGCCATATTCCAAGAGGGACACGGCGCAATCCACAGTTTGTTTAAACTAGGCTATATGGTCATCAGCTTCTGATGAGTAGGCCGATGGTTTGGTCAGCGCCACCAGATGAAGATTCATCCTGTTGTGCTTGTCAGTGAAGCATCCGTAACATACTTTTGATGCTGATATCCGATCGATCAGGAAAATACTTCTCCGATTACGCGAACAGCGCGGTTTGTGTGTCACAAAACGAATGTAAATGGTTAGCGCGGAGCAAGGTGACTCTTGTTTGAACCAGCGGACACCGGAATTCTTCACTCGACCAAGCTCATCTCCATTTTGCTGGGTGGTGCCTGCGGTGTTGACTTAGTCCGATCTTCGTTGAAAAAAGGCGGGAAAAATCAACGCATGCCATTTGGGCGATCACGTTCGTACCAACACTTTTATGGACGTGAACTCGACGGTGTGTCACCAAGGCAGCTTTCGATTTGCAGCACTTGCCACAATCCTCACACTTGAGCTCCTCGGATCTCTCCTATGTACTTGTTGGAAAAGTTGTAGAGGCGTTAGATGATTCGTAATGTACATTGTCGAAAGTAACCAGCACATTGAAACCAAACAGGGTGGTCAGCCCTGTCTGGAGTTGCTGAACTCTTAGCTCACCCAGGCTGACGTTCAAGGTACCCAGTCGGCACTACGAGGAGGTAGTTCAGCTCGCCGACTATTTGTCTAGCTTTACTGTCACTGTTATGCTACGAAGGAATCGGTCTACTTTCTCGCAACTTTTCTAAGTAGTGTGCACTACCAAACACTTATGACCTCATCAAACCATTGGGATGAAGGACGGGAGCAAAAGCCTTTCTACCATTATGAAACAAAACTAGGCGTATGGAGGTGAGGTTGAACGCGAGTTGGCTCGGTGGTTGGGGCGCGAATTTACTAACCGGAAGGTCTGTGGTTCGAACTCGACTTCTGCCTCTCGACTTTCCCTTTCTAGCCTTGGGTAACCTGGCAGCATCCCAGCCCTCGTGCTTCCCTCTGGTGGCATGGTAGTTTTGGGCGATTTTTTCTAAACACAAAAGATCCTTAGGTCTTTTTGTAAAGGAAACTACTCATAGGGCTGCTGAAAACTTCGACAACCCACGACCGGTTCCTCTCTTCTTGTGGCTCATCAGGTAGACGCGACCCCCGAGTTTCTATCAACCTTATGTTCTACTTATGTCTTATTATTATCGGTTGGTCGCCCCTCACAATGCGGCATGATTACTGGCGTTTTTTATAAAAATATCTCGAAACGCAAACAGAAAATTTGTCCGCTAAAAGGAAGGATGACTTCTAGGCAGAGAACAAAATGTTAGTGCCCTGTATAAGAGGACGCTTTTTGGAGAATGACAAGGAAGGGTTTCATTTGTTGGACGAGTTGTTGCATATATTTGTTAGAATCATTGGATAGTATTTTGCACATCTTTTTTTTACACATAAAACCACAAGAGTTGGCATGCTACAGGAGTTCCTTCCACGATTTCTATCCTAAGAAAAACGATTCCGTTTCTAATTTTAACTGATCAGTTAACCTAGTCGTACCACTGTTTCACTTCCTCTGTTTGTTGTGTCCGACTGTTGACTAGAACCCACCCGCATCCGCTGTACTATAAATTATTCACAATTCTGAAACCTTGTTGGGTTGATTAATGTTCCTCTGTCGTGAATAGCACCCCTGTGTGCTTGACTGATTCGTTCAAGGTACTGTTTGGGTAAACCTCGGGGAAAGCCGTTTAAGCTGTTCGAACCGGGGTTCCTTAGAATTCGTTGCAGACCGTTTCGATTTTGCATAATTAAGTCCCTGCAGACGGTTTATCACGGAGTTGAAAATAAAATAATGTATCCCGGATAATTTGCATGACCGGCTCATTTTGTTGTCTGCTATTTGTTAGACATCGGTGCCTCAGCGTTCGAAGGGTGAGGTAGGAGGATACTATTGAGGATTGCGTCGTTGTGTCAGAAAGTCTTGTCACATTTTGATAAATATGGACTACGAGGTGGAGTGGTCCTTTGTCTCCTTTTTTCAGCTGCCTGGTTGTGGTCGAGCGAAATTAATGGTTAGCCACAAACTCACAACCTTAGGGTGCCCAGAGTGAAAACCTCTCTTTTTCAATTGTCTTTTTATGTATTGGGCGACTGATTCAGTTTGACGTCAGTGCATCGCTCGTTGGTCCGAATAACTAGGGTTATTGTGGCTCAGCACTTGCGCTTTTTCATAGATAGTTCCCTCTGATGCCTCACATTGGTGCAAATATGCACCAGTATTTTATTTTGTTGCGCTTTCAGTGTGTGCCACATGATACAACGATTCTTGACGAATAGTCATCCTACCGTATTTCGGATCTTTATTTGCTGCCGTTTAGCCGCGACTTCGTGTTTGGTCTTGCTTATGCAGTCTTATAGTGCACCAAGGTAAATTCTGCTTGAATTACTGCTACTAGGTTTAGTGTCAAAAAAGCATTGGACGTCCCAGTTCCTCTTCAAGCTTTCACCCACTCCAATTTAGTCTCATATAACAGGCTTTCTGTGAGAAACTTTCTTCAGAAATGGCCCCTAGATATCCAACTATCAGGTTATCCGTTTTCATAGCCTGTCGATCGTATGTCGACCATGTGGTCGTTTATGAAATTTGATCAAATTGCACATTAAGGCGATATCCGTATATATACTGGTGAGGGGCGAGATGGACAAGTGGTTAGAGCGCGAATTTACTGACCGGAAGGTCCGTGGTTCGAACCCGACCTCTGCCACTCTACTTCCCCTGGCAGTATCCCAGCCCTCGTGCTTCCGTGTGGCCATGGCAGCTGGCACCGAAAGGGTGCTACAGCTGGACGATTTTTTTTATACTGACCAGGTTCGATCGTCGATCGGTGTAATTGCTAATGGACAACATCGCTTTCCTTGAAGAACATAACCAATTTCTCCCATTCCAGAATGTGCATCAGTGTGGGTCGCTTTACCCCCTGAATATCCTCAAACACCACCGTTACTAGTTGTCGAGCATATCAATATGGGTTCGAAATCTACCGGAAAATCAGCTGGTGCTGCACTGTCGGACTTGGTTTATATGGTACGTATTGATCTGTATTTCGCTTCATGGCATCGGTTGAACAATCCGGTTTCATATATATCTCATTCTTGTTTCATTTCTATTCCGTTCTTTTACCCCAGGACCTGGAGTCAGAACTAAACTGCTATTGGCATGAGTTTTTCGTAAGCAGGGGCTCGGCAGCAACGGAAGTCAATCCACAGGAACCGCCGGGATCCAACATCCTCTCTTGTCAGTTGGCTCGATGTGCCTCTTGCCTGGAGGCCTTATGGAAAGGTTCTCCTGTCACAAGTCGACCAGGTGACCATGCGTTGATGGTAGCGGGCCACTATGTGAAGTGAGCTCATTATACTTGATCTGTTCACATTTCCGTATGTTTGTTCGCCTCCCGGCAATTACATCATGTCTCTCTAGTTTTAGTATGAAAGCCTTCAAATAACAGAAGTGTGTATATAAAGTCAAACTATAGCACCATATTGCGCTACGGTGCTCTCCATCAAGGGGCTGGTTCTCAAGAAAATTCTTAGCAAGTGTTCCACATCCGTTTTATGCGGGATTTCCAATCTTTGAAACCCAACTATGCCGAATCCTCTACCCGATGCGACATTTTATGACGGAAGCCCACCAAAGTTAGAATCTAGTGACGGAATTTGGTTTTTCTGATAATTGAAAGTGAAATCCAACAAGTGCTGCATATGTATATCATGAGTTTGAAGATGGAATAGTTTCTTCCCTCTCTTTTTCCTTTTCATTTTGCCCGCTCAGGTACCCAACTCGTGGACCACCCCTCCAGTATCTTCCCTCGCTGGGTGTCCATATTCATCGCTAAATCCAGTTGACCTGAAAACATATCATTTGTTTCACATGGTCTCGTGTATAAAAATACCGCTTTTTCCGACATTTGATCCCCTGCACTCATCCATTTGGTTCTAGGGAGAAGGTCAAACGAACCGAAAAACAGTGGTCACGTTCAACCTTTTGTTCACATGGCTGAATTTGCTTAGCAAAGGTCGCAAGGCGGCTGACTGTTCGTGAATCTAGTTGTCCTCAGCGGAACCTGATGTGTTCTCGGTATTCTCGGATGACAGACTGTTGCAACCATAGTTTTCAGGCTGGAATATACTGCCATTTGTCGGCTTGTAGCTGCGCTGAGACAATATATGTTCCATCACAAGGAACAGATGATCTACTCCTTTATATCGATGAATTGAAGTGAATGACATAAAGTCAGTCTAGAGACTGTTTGCAATCTAATTATTCAGCAGCTAGGTTTCTCCGACAGAGCGTAGCAATCGTCGTCGTCGCATAACTAACCTTTAGATATCATACTTCTGGGGTGAAACTCACTGTGTACTACACATAGGTTGCTGTTCGCTTTGTGGTGTATTCCACCTGGGCGATAACCTGCATTAGCTCACTTTGCTGTTCGGGATGTTTGAAAAGTCGCGTAATCGAGCTTATCAGGGTTTTTGTGTTTTCTTCACAGACACGAACCCCGATTCTGATTTTCTCCTAAATTTAAGGTTCCAAATACATGTATTCTTCCGAATTAAATGGTAACTACGGTTAACTCACTGACCACTTGATAACTGGACATCTGTAAACTTTTATAATATTACCAGAAGCAGCAACACTGATGTGGACTTATACACAACAAGATGAGACGATTCTATTCAGATTTATATTTCAGGGTGCTCTTTTCGAAGTATTACTATAATCAGATACAATTATGACTCTAAACACCACCAACCTTTGTTCATTCAATAGGCGTTTTACGGATATTGAACTACGGTCTTCGTTCCGAAGCATCCGCCAACCTTAGAGCCTATGTTACTTTTGCTGCAGCGCGAGTTCAGCAATAGAAAGTTGGCCTTCCCCAAAAATTCCGTTTGGATTGTAGTTTGGATTTTAGTGAATAACGTTTCAGCACCGATGTACTGTATTGGTACATTGTGAGCCACAAACCGTCCAGTCACTTCACAGCCTAGCTTGATCGCAATAACTCGGTAGGACACGTACATTCATCGACATCATAACCCCAATACCGAAGGATTCTGAAACAAACAAAAAGTGCCGGCAGTGGAGTTCCGTAGCACTGCGAAGTCTGAGGCTGACACGGCTGAAAGTATGCTTTAGGAATACACATCGCTACTCAGCTCGAGTGTTGACGAAACGTTCCATCCAAACTTTCCAGCTGAACAAACAAGCCAACACCTAGCTATACAGCCCGGCCCCTCAATAGCAAGCGTTTTCTAGTTTGCCGTGACTCCCTTTTGTGAAGAAATTTGGCAAACTTGTGTTCCGACGGAATGGGACTTTAACAGCCTTTCAACTGGGAGGTGGTAGTGGGCGGTCAGGTTCGTGAATTGCCATTCTCGCCCCCATTGTTCATCCAGTTACTATTCTTCCATCAATCTGTTCTCCAATTAATGATGTCAACAATGTGAAGCGCGTACGGTCATCCTTTGCCGTCAGGCTTTTAGGTATTACTTATTAATGTTCCGAGCTTTCGTACGAACACGGCCTCTTAATTTAGAAACTCCGCCTCCGAAGTGACTATGGACATACAGTTCTCTTACAAAGCAATTGCCTTTTCAAAGGTTGCTGTCCGTATTCACCTTCCATCTGGTCGCCCATCGCTGAAGTTGCTCGGCCTTGCGTGATATTTCTAAACGCACAGAATTTTCGTATTTCGGCTTTTGAGCCTTTCACTTATCACTAGCTGTTCCTACTCGAACCGCTCAAAAATTGACGGTGAATACTTTGAAACAAGTATTCTTTTGGTGTGCAACTATGGTTTGCTGCGCAGTGTGATCGAGTAGATTGATTGAATTCGGCAGACGCGTGCCAAGCGTATGTTGCTTTTTCACGGGCTCCTTGATTACGAAACACACGCTCCAGTTCATGCAGCCTTGATAGGCTATTAAACCTAACTTTACGGATCATCGCTGTAACACATGGTTCTGGTTTTTGAGGCTAACTGGGCATTATGCGAGCGGTGTCTGCTCTCAAGACCCCGAATGGGAGTGACCGACTGGGACCTATTTTGATGTGTCCAACGAACGGTGATTCAAAACGTTGACCCAGAATTCCAGTGGAGCTGTTGGGAACTCGCTGACGTTTATGATCATAAAATTGAAGCAGCAAAGATCTGGCGTGTATTCGTCCGTGTCGCTTTTCCACAAAGAACTACCAGCTCGTACCTGCTGCATGTCCGCTTGGTGTGAAAAATTCACTGTCGAAGATGGTCGGAAAGGCCTCTGTCGAACATAATTATATAAACCTGTTATTCTATTTTAAGTAAGCCATATTGTGAGAAGAGCGATATCACATATTGTGCAGGCCCGCCTAATACAAGTTCGACACAGGTGCATCTGCCATGCTCACTCTGAAAAACTTTATACCCACTGATATTAAGGTAGCTGAAGTGGCCAAATTCCTGTACTGAGTAATCCCTTTAACCTGGAATGTTTATGTATGCATTTAAATGTCCCTGCTCTGTTGGCAACGGACACAAGTTTGGGATAAATACAAATGATGCAGAGTTTACTTGAGCCACCGTTATTTTGTCTAGTTCGCTAGGCATCCGCTAGGTCACATTTTCAGACAACCGTAACCTTTATGTCCGTCACACATGCATACCGCATTAAACTATGGCGTTCCCGCTTTCTCCTGCGGAAATTTTCTCGTTCTCCTGCACACACTGAAGAAATGGAAATCCCACACTTCTGAATTATTCGCCCAACTTCTCGTACACTTTCGCCACAGTGATATCCGTGCTTGAGATTAGTTTTGGTCACTCGGGGTCGATTCTTTCAAGCGGTCCTTTGGGACTGAGTGTGGATCTAGCGCAATGCGTATCGTTGTCAGTTAAGTATTCAACTTTCCTTAGTGTCCGGTAACCAGTTTATGGTTTTACGAGTAAACGGGCAACCGAGAAAGAGGAGTCAATAAATTGTGGATAGAATGGTAGTTTCACGGCGTTTTATGAACGCTGCGCTGACTGTTGACATCGCTGCTCTACAGATTGAGAAGCTAACGGATGAAGGGCACGCTGATACTCTCGTCTACCGGCAATTTCATTCAGTTTTCTGCGGAAAAATTCACCTGAAATGAATATTACGCTTCGTGAAGAAACTACGTTCAAATAAAGCTAACATAGCGGTATTACCTGTCTCCCCATCGAAAAAGACCATACCTTGCGTCACAAACACCGAGGAATCTGCATCTCCTTTACTGAGAGTAGCTCTACACTGTATTTTGAGGGTACTGGAAAGATTGTTTAACTTTTACTTGGAAGTAATGCCAACTAGGTCGCAATGTGGACCAGTTTATCTTTTTTATCCAGATGTTGATGCAATTTGGCTGGTGACCAGATTTCGCAGTAATAATGGTGACATTGGCGGGGTCACCACCTTTTTTTCCCTGTGGAGGAATGCCCAGTATTCTCCGTAGACTGCTGGACGACGGGAAGAGTTGTACTGACTGGCAAACTGGCCACGAAACAGGGGCGTAGTGTTACAGGAAGCTGCACGGAATCCGTTTTTTTTTGGTACAAGTTCACTCAAGTCGTATCGTCAGAAGCCTGCTAAGGAATGTTCTCATGCACGATTGTGTGCCACAATACTGTAGTCCTCCAATTACTCGGAGACTATCTCAAGGCACCGACCAACAGTTTTGAACAGCCGTACTCAGCTGTCTGAAGACTCAAGTTGACTTCTCTGATATCAGTCGTAGAAGTGAATTATTAGCACAGGACGAAATGGACACTATATTTCCAAGCACAAGGATGAACCTTGACAAATACACTCATTTGTATATCAACTGGGTTTTCATGAGATACTCGACTGAATCTCTCGTTTATGATGTTTTCCAGCTGCACAGGGCCCGCCTCATGTTTTACTTGGTACGACATTCGAGATATCGCAGTATATTTGATTGCTAGTTTACATGTACTGATACAACCATAACTCGTCAAATTAAGACAAATGGTTCCACCCTATCAAACTGTCTAGTCATCCCTCTCAAATTGGATATTGTTCTGATAACCTAGTTTTCTGAAAGTATGGTGTCAGCTTGCATGTTCCAGATTTCCCATTAAGGAATACCCTTTTCACACACCTGGAACTTCTTAAGTTTCATGAATTTTTTGCGTCTTATTGGTTTCACTGTAAGATCATATGAATAGCGCTCAAGATTTGCCAGATTTCTGAACTAGAATCCTTGTTTCTTCGATGATTTGCCTCCGTCGATCGTATGGTCAAACCCAAAGGGAGCTTATGGGATTCACCGTTTTGTGCGAATTGAGCTACCGAAGCAACATCCAATCCGCTATCCGGCTGGTTAATCGTGTCACCTGCACCCTCCCACACGTGCTTTGGGATTGTGACAGTGGCGCATGAACTAAATACGGTCACGACAAATTTAACATCATCATCATCAGCTGTCTTACAGTTGCTCTAGTTTCCAAGATGGGGTAGGTAACTGCGAGTTGCAGACGGTAGATGATATGGCTGATGCTTAAATTTATGGTTGTTAGTGAACTTTTAATTGGGGACACTGGGAGAGAGCTATGCATTGAAAGCAATAGATTGGATTCACGAACATCATTGAGGGCGCGGTCGAACTAT